AGGTGGAGGTGGTGATGGGGCTAAGGAGGTTCGGAGACCACTGCACGAGAGTCGGCAATGGCTACTGTTGCGGTTGAGGGTGGGGTTAGGGGGTATGAGAAAGAGGGACGGATGGTGGATGAGACAAGACTGGGCGAACGTAGAAATGATGGCCCGAAGCTGTGATTGGTGGGCGGAGGCCGGACTCGGACTTGTGGATGGCAAAAGAGGGCGAAGTAATCTCCGGCGGCCAACGGTCACATTTTGGGTATCGGCCATGTCACCGACTGCACCTGAAGGACTCGAGCCCGCCACCATCACGAGTTGTACACGGTCATTTCTAGTTGGAGACACGAAAATCAGCCTACATGTTGCTACTTAGGCATTCACAGAACTGGCGAATTGTGGGATTCTTATTTCACTTCCCAAAGCCTGTCTCCTGGACCTTTCGATATCAGTTCGTAACGGAAGAATTGGCCTTTTTCTACCCACTTTGACCAGGGCCACAAGGACTCTGACTGTTGTCAAGGCCCTTCTTATAAATGCAGATAAAAGGAGTCAGTAAGCTTTTTCGTTAATAAATAAAGAGGCGTATAATTTAGACACACAACCCACTAAGCCAGGGTTCCACGAGTGCCCTTGCATCACAGAGTAGATGTGACTTTTTTCTAAATCACATGCTGTCGTGCGATATATATATATATATGCGATCTATTTATACTCTCGAAAACTACCTATAAACGAAAATAAGTAATCTAGTCGATTGCTATAGCAAATACAACTTAGTTTACTTGACAATTTCACCACAGCATGTGATCTGGGAAAACGCCTGGCCTATACGAGAATATGAAACATACTTCTAAACAAAAATGACGAACTTCTACCTTATCTCGAGCCAAATGATCCTCTGTGCGGCGAGAAAGCATTGGAATCTGGTTATAGAAGCAAGGCTATGCAAAATCTAATAGAAACGTTAGACCTACTCATATTGTTGCAAAAAATCAACTAACAGTCCTTCATTACATATAATAAAATAGTGTGAATACATCCCATTATTATAGCAATAGTTGTCACGAGGAAGTAAAGTGAATTAGAAATTCGGCACTCTAGGCAGCTCAAGATGGGTAAACGTGATAATATTCTTAGTATTTGCAGGGAAAAGTTTATAGGAATCGCATAGGCTATAGTAGATGGGATCACTTTCTTTTCAGGTGAAAGTATGGATGATGAAGAGACTTACGAGTTGATCCCACCAGAAGACGAGGAAGGATTTCTCTTGGCCAGCTGTCGGTTGGCTCTACTGATACATTCTTGTTGATTCTGCTTTAAAGGAGATCTTCTTTGTGTCCAGCGAAACATGGTAAGATTTCATCCGTCATATCACAAAAATCACCAGAGCGTGTGAGCATTCTGACAAACATATTCGAGATATCGAGCCAAGAATACTCATTGACTTATCACAAGATGCTGTGTATATACCATTCATATATGTTTTTTTTTTAATTTTTATTCAGGCATTAACGATTGCCTCGAAAACTGCTTAAAGCGAAGTGGGGAGAATTAAAATTTCTCGTGCTTCAGTTAGCATGAGGTGGCTTTCGGATCGCAGAAATACTGCATTTTCAAACTGGCCTGGATCTCATCATCACCCAAGACTGAACTAAAATCAGGTATTTCTTGTCATGAAATTTAAGATTTCATTTCCTGAGGCCGACTGGATTTCATATTTATGGTCTCCCGGTAGTCTATAAAACTACTTATTTGGAAATAAGTAGTAAAGTATAATAATGATGGATGAGTGCTTGCCTGGTAGATACTATTCGGAGTAGACCAATTCTGAAGAAAATTTTGGAGTATACGAAATCGTTTTATGCTATTTACTGATAGTTTAATTCTCCATTATGAAATTAGAAGAAGCCATTAGTAGTTCGGACTCCCGATGAGGCTGTTGATAAGACCGATGCGAGGTCGAAACTGCAGTCCACTGGTGCCTGGATGAGAACAACTTTTGGGAAGCAAGGCTATGTGAAATTCAATGAAAACGTCAGCTCAACTCATATCATTGTGGGAAAATTCTACTACCATCCTTCATCACCTTATACGAAATAGGGTGAATACATCTCATATAACCGATTTACTGGTAGTCTCGAAACCCTACTCAAATACGTCTATAAAACTAATTATTTGGAAATAAGTAGCAAATTAGAATAATGATGGATGAGTGTTTGCCTGGTAGATACTATTCGGAGTAGACCAATTCTGAAGAAAATTTTGGAGTATACGAAATAGGTTCATTCTATTTACTGATAGTTTAATTATCCATTATGAAGTTAGAAGAAGCCATTAGACACCACGTAAGTACTCTTGATCTTGCCTCCAAAAACTCTATGCACTATCTTAAACGACCTAGGCTTACCTGAATTCTTACTCAGGTTCAATTGAATTTTCTTAAGATTACTCATTTGATAAATGGTAATAAAGTAGAGTATAATGGCAGACATATTCGCCTTATCTACAAGCGAATCACAAACTTGCTTTGAGTCTCACTTGCAGTTGAGCTACAAGCTGACAAAACCCGGTTCCGAATCTCCCTGGGGCAGCTGAATAGACTCAGTAGAGGTGATCTAGACAATGAATCTTATTTGCCTTCATCTACAGGATTAACTCGAAGAAAAAGGAATAATTATCCCATAGGCTTGATTGCGAATAGCATTAAATTAATAAAATATACTTTTTTCAGTAAGGAATATGTAAGAAGAGGCAGAAGGACGCATACCTTTTCCGTGTTTTATCTTTACTGTCGTGTGTATTTAAAAAAAAACTGTGCGAACTAGTAAGTGATTGGGGAATAAAAACGGTTTTCAGAGAAACTAAGACACTTTCGTCAATTATGCCCACTCTTAGAGAGAAAGTTGACCCCTAATTTAGATCAGGTCGCTACAGCATAATGCGTTTGTGTGGTTGCTACTCTGTTGGATAACCTTGTCGCCCCATTTGCCAAATGCTGGTTGAGCACGAAAGCGTATCGGTTGGGTTCACAAACCAGATTTAACTGAGCACACGGCAGCAGCTGGACATGAGGTTGAATGGTCTAAAACTTGTCATTTTGTCATTTTGGCATGTCTGCAGTTGAGCGCCAAATGAGAGGCCATCGAAACCAACTGATGGGGCATTAGAGTAAATGTAAGGGATGCAGGAAAAAAGTGAAGTAATAACCATTTATGTTCGTGGAAAGAATTAAGGAGTGAGAAAATGTTAATCCGCCCGGAAACGCTATACGACCGAATTAGTCTTTTCTTTTTCTCGTTCTAATTACACTCACTTTTGACGAAAAGTCATCAACTTAACCAGAAGTGTGTCCGACCTTGGGCAATCAGAGTGATTGTTGGGGTATGAAAAAAAATGGGTTGTGTTCTAATTACTTAGAGTTGTCACTGTTGGTCTAGTACAAATACCAACATATGATGGTTTCCGGTGAGAACACATCACGAATTCCTTCCGACCGACGTTTCTTTCGAAATAGAAATTCATGCCACAATATATCACTAAGAGATTCTTCAAAACTCAGAATTGCTTCATCTCTCCACCAAATACTTTCCCTTAAAATGGAGGTGAGCTCAGTAAAATATTTCAAACTTCATTAATGGCATCAAAGTCAACCAGCACGCACTATCGGCCTAGTTCGCCTAGTTTCCCAAATTGATGCCAGTTCTTGACGGAATGCATGAATTGTTGAGCTTACTTCCATTTCGAGTAAAAGTGTTGGGGGTGAAGAGATTCGAAGGTCAGTTCCACCAGAAGACGACGGCGGATTCATCTTGACCAGCTGTCGACTGGCTTTACTGATGATGTTCGTCATATGACGCACGAAAGCTTAGCACCTTTTCACCGGACTCGAACGAGATTACACCTTGGAAACAACGTCAGCATGAATCTTCCAGTAAAGCCAATCGACAGCTGGTCAAGAGG